GCGATGAAGCTGATCTTGGGGTGGGGAGAGCAGACCGGGTGTCCAGGCTGAAGGATCCCCACATGCAAAGGTGTGGGGGTGGGGAGTGGGGAGAGGTTGGGGAGGAAGGATGTCTGGGGGCGAGGAGGGCCTTGAAGGTCATGCTGAGTGGTTACAGCTTGATTCAAAGTGCAGGGAGGAGCCCCAGGAGGGTTTACAGCAGTGAGAGTTCATGTGATGGTTAATGTTTTCTTCTTCCTTCTCCCCTCTCCTCCCTTCCTTCTTTCTTTCTTTCTTTTTGCAGTACTAGGGACTGAACTCAAGGCCCTCGCACTGAGCTACATCCCCACTCTTTAATTTTTGGAGACAAGATCTTACTAGGGGTCTAAGTTGCCCAGGCTGGGCTCAAACTTGTTATCCTCTTGCCTCAGCCTCTCACAGCGCTGGAATTACAGGCATTCACCACTATGCCTGGCTCGGTTAGCGTTTCTGTATGATTCCTCCAGCTCCGAGTGGTTTGGAAACTCAGGGAGAGGTGGAGCATGCAGCAGTGTGGGGAACACATCAAAGCAGATACCTGCTAAGAAAGTGGGCCCAGGGCCAGGCAGAGGGCCGGGCTGCATGCTGGCATGGGGTACCTGTCAGCTCTGGGTGCACCCTCCCTGATTCTGACTTCCCACTTCTCCCACCAGCACAGCTCAATTAGGCCCCTGCTGTGGTCCAACTCTGGCTGCATCATTTCCACCCCTAAAGGGTGATGGGAGGCCGGCTTCCCCTTGGGTAGGGAGGAGGGAGTCTCAGCAGCCCTAGGCCCAGAAGGCCAGGTGACAAAAGCCCTGGAGGCTGGTTTTGCTTTTGGGCTTTGAGCCTGGGGCCCTGCAGTATCTGGTTAGCCACAGGCCGGGAGGAAAAAGCTCACAGACTCAGTCCTGCTGGCCGGGGCCTCTTGCTGGCCGGTACCACTTGGGCCCAAGCCCCACAGTCTTCCTGCTCTGGCCTCTGGGGTCAGACCAAGGCTGGCTAGATGACTCAAAACCAGGGGACAATTGGGAGCTGGAGTCCCTGCCACTATTACTTGGTGCAGATGAGGAAGCTGAGCCCTGAGGGAGGGGACTGCACAGCCAGATCTTGGAAGCTGACTGCGTTGTCCATTTGTCTGTTGCTTTCTTCTTGGCCACCTCCTGGGTCCCTGTGCTAGATAGTGGTGGATACTGAAGCTTTTCAAAAACTGCCAGAAAGGCCCAATACATACAGGTATCAAAACATCAAGTTATATCCCATTAATTTGTACAGTTTTTCTGAGTCATTTAAAAAATAAGTTTCAAGCGGGGGATTTAGCTCAGTGGTTCTGGTGCCTGCCTTGCAATTTGCAAGGGCTGGAGTTCAATCCCTGGTACCCTCCCTAACATTTTTTTTTTAATTAAAAAAAAAACTGCTTTAGCCTGATATGTACACCTGTAATCTAAGCATTCTGGGAGGCTGAGGCAGGAGGACCGAAAGTTTGGGTCCAGCCTGGGCAATGTAGTGACTTAGTAAGATTCTGTCTCAAAATAAAAATAAATTTAAAAATGAGCTTGGGAGGTAGCTTTGTGCAAGGCCCTGGGTTCAATCCCAAGGATCAAACCAGACTGGGGATTTAGCTCAGTGGTGCACTGCCTCACAAGTGCAAGGTTTGGCGTTGGATCCCCAGTACCAAAAACAAAACAAAACAAAACAAAAATCAAGTATCAAACCAATGGAAAAAATTTAAAAATTAATAAAATTTAAAAACAGATTAAAACTATCTGAGAAAGTCACTGTACTGTGTACCTTACTGCAGTAAGAGCAAAATGTGAGAAGCCTTGGGGCCCAGCCCCGGCACCAGAAGGGAAAAAAGAGAGGGTTAGGGATTCAGCTCAGTGGCACCGTACTTGCCTCACAAGCGCAAGGTTCTGAGTTCAATCCCTGGTACTGAAAGAGAGAGGGAGAGAGAGAGAGAGAGAGAGAGACAGAGAGGGAGGGAGAGAGAGGGAGGGAGGGAGGGAGAGAGGGAGGGAGAGAGAGGGAGGGAGGGAGGGAGAGAGGGAGGGAGAGAAAGAGATTGCAAAACATATTGTGAAGAAAGAAGGTTCATGGTCATGACCATTGTTGCAACCTCTTGTTACAGGCTCACTCTGTCCTCATGCAGGATGCAAGAGAGCGCTACCCATAGTTTTCTCTGTCCAGGGCAGGGTAGCAGTGATAGGTAGAATACTTGAGGTTTTCTCTATATCTTCACACCCTTTATTTTTGGCGGGGGTGGTTCAGCACTGGTCACCTAACAGTACCCTAGCACACTAGGCAAGTGTTCTACCTTGAGCTACAACCCCAGCTGCTACCGTTAAATTTTGAGGGTGCTAAGTTTCCCAAACTTCTGAGCTCAAGGGATCCCTCTGCTTCAGCCTCCTGAATCCTGGGACTACGGGAGTGTGCCCCTTTGCCCAGATTCTTGACATTTTTGATCATGTGCACATATCTGAAACTGTTTAAAGGGAAAATCTAGCCAATGGAAGGGACTCCTGCCAGCCTCCGATGAGTACCCCTCAGTACCTAATTGAGGCTGGGAATCTGAGGAGCTTGGTGTTCGCTGAGCAGGGCGCCCCCAGCCTCCCCTTACTCCCCCAGCACCCTCTCTGCCTCACCCACCTGTGGGAGAACTGGAGGGCTGTGCGGCCAGGCTTGTCTGCAGCGAAGGAAGTGAGAGCAATTCTCGCACGGCCTCTGACTCGGAGGAGGCCCAAGCAGGGGTATGACTCAGAGATACTGAGCAAGGCAAGGGCCTCCCTAGGCCCTGGGGTGAACCCCGGTCACCACGCCAGGCCAGCCTTAAAGTCTGAAGGACCTGGGGGCCAGTACAGCGGGGCTCCTGAGGACTTCTAGGGCTGGAGTCTTTGGAGGATATGGCTCCGACTAAGATGCAAGGAAGGTCAAATCTGGATGGTCCCTGGATACTATTAATACTAATCACGGTGTCCACATCGGGAATGTCATGCTGGGCACCACCTCAACAGTCCTGGAAACTCCAGGATTATCCCTGTGTGTAAACGCTGCAACAGAGTAAACAGCTAGGTGTGCTCCCTGCTAACAATCCTGCCTGATTTCCAGGTCCCTGGTCAACCACCTTGACTGGAGCCCCTGCTCTTTGTACTCTGACCCTATTAGTTTCTTTCAGTTAGTGCTATAACGTAAGAGCGGTGTGACCTTGGGCAAATTACTTAACTTCTCTGGGCCTCGATTTCTTCTGTAAAACAGAGATAGTCCTTATTTCATCGACTAGTCCCGAGCAAATAAGTTAATAAGTGTAAAGTACCGTACTTATAACTATGTGTTGCTCATGCGAAGCATGTGTTTGCCATGGTTGCTATTATTACCCCACATTTCATCAACTCTAAGATGTCATCAGTTGTAAAAGATGTCAGAAAGGAGAAAAAATTCTGCCAGTTAACCATGTCCCAAGGCTCCTCTATCACTAGAGTTTTTATTTTGTATTTCCCAAAAGAGCTGTTTGAGTTAAATGTAGATTCTTAGAATATATAATTCTGATGTGCACATAAAAAGGATAGCAGAAGCAAAACAAATTGGTTACCCTGTTCACAAAACTCCTTCACATTTTATTTTTTATTTATCTTTACTCCTTTACGTTTTAGAGGCTGACTCCTGCATGTCACTTCTACATGCTTTCCGGCCACCTTCTCCACTGAGCCTACAAAGAGGAGTGCTCCAAGCTGGTCATGGTGGAGCACGCCTGTAATCCTAGCGCTGGGGAGGCTGAGGCAGGAGGATCGCTATGAGTTCGAGGCCAGCCTGGTCTACACAGTGAGTCCCAGGTCAGTCTCAACTACATAGTGAGACCCTGTCTCAAAACACAAAATAAAGAGGAGTGCTCCTCCAGCCAGTCCACAAATAGCTCCAAACCTGGCAGGGCAGTGTGTCTGTAGCAACCAGCTTTGCAACTGCAGAGCAAGCTCACTTTTGCCTGGTCTTTTCGAATGCTGTCACTAAGTCTGAGGCAGGAGGATCACTTTTTATTTGTTTGTTTGTTTCAGATAGGGTCTCGCTATGTAGTTGAGACTGACTTGGAACTCACTGTGTAGCCCAGGCTGGTCTCTGAACTCACAGAGATCCTCCTGTCTCAGCCTCCCAAGTGCTGGGATTATAGGCATGTGCCACCATGCCTGACCAGGGGGATCACTTTCGGTCTCAAGTTGAAAGAGTGCTTCATGTCTGCCTCTGAGGTTCTCTCCCAGCCTGCTGACACTCTTTCACCAGGATTCCATGCTCATGATTTTGTTGTGGTTTTTGTTTTGCAGGGTAGTCCAGGCTGGCCTTGAACTCTCTATGTAGCCCACGCTGGGCTCAGACTTGCAATCCTACCTCAGCCTCCCAGGGCTAGATTACAGGTATTTGCCACCCCACCCAGATAGCTGACACTTTTTTTTTTTTTTTTTTTTTTTTTGGTATCGGGGATTGAACTCTGAACCTTGCGCTTGTGAGGCAGGTGTCAGAACCACTGAGCTAAACCCCTGCCCTGATACTTGTACTTTTGAAGCATGGGCAAGTGCTGGCAGTGACAACTAAGTCAGGATGGCAGCCCGGCGGTCAGCAAACAACTGTCATGTAACCTGACTTCAGAGATGTTACATGTGAAAAGCAGTGTCTTGGAACAGGTAAAACCTGAATAATTTCTGATCTTTACACTGGCCCTGCTTCGGCTGCCTCAGAGCATTGTACATTCTGTTTCTGCTGCCTGGAATACACATTTTCCCTCCCCACTTTGCCTAGTTAACCTGATGGTATCTGAACTCATGACTCTGGGATGCCTTCCCTGAGTATCCCACCAGGGTCATGGCCACACCTCTATAAAACACCTAGTACAGGTGCATCCTTATATTTTGAGTGTGTGGTTTGTAGGTAGCTGACTCCCCGGTTCCTGTTACAGGAACAAAGGCCATGCGGTAGACATGGGCACCTGGGATGTCTTCCGGGCTCTGTGACATGAGCCATTGGTCCCAGTACCACGTTGCTTCCCTCTAAGGGGGCTGTCCAACCTTCTTGTGTTTCAGATGGGAAACTGAGGCCTGGCCAGCTGATGTTACCTACTCATACCCCTGTACATAGAGTATGAGATGGGGTGAGGTGGGGGCATCCACTCCCATGGGGTTCAGAGCAGGCTTTCTGGGAGAGGGACTTTAAAACTAGGCCGCATGGGTGGGGTGGTTTGGGTAAAGAGAGACATCAAGGGGATGGGAAAAAAGGATGAAACTGGCATAGCAGAAGAGGCATATGTGGGCACCCGGACTCCTTGCTGCAAGATCTAGAGTCCCTTCTGTGGCTCTGGAGGGGGTCATACTGTTGGAAAAGGTAGGTCCAGAGGTGGAGGGACACCCAGGAGTCAGGAGCACCGTGCCCCCCACACATACGGGCCAGTCCTGCCTGAGAAGCTGGGAGGATGGGGGATTAGGCAGACCCAGGGGATGTCTGGCCACCAAACCCGGAAGGAGGAAGCTGTACAGGGTGTCTGTGGCTCTGCCGGGATCCCCCATGGGGACTTCCTCTTCCTCTCAGGGCAGGTGTAGCCGCCACAGCGGGACGACACTCTGACCCCGACATGGAGGGGGGCCAGGGGCACAGACTTAGAGACTTTCTGAGAGGGAGCCTGGCCACCTGGGTGAGGAGCAGAAGGGAGCGGGGGTTGCAGAGGGGAAGTGAGCCAGTGGCAGGTATTGGCTGGGGAGGGTGGGCTTGCCATAGGGGTGGAGTCCAGGGGAAGTGAGGGAGACCAAGGAGTGCAGAACCTGGAACCAGTGGGGAAGGGTGCTAGGGCTCACTGGGGCAGGACGGAGAGCCCAGGTTCTGTTCTGCTGTCCAGTGGATGCACTCTGTTCCCCACAGGCGCTGGGACTCGCTGAGCTGGTGGGGGAAGCGGAGCCTTTGGGGACAGAGGAGGAAGAGGAACAGGGGCCTCTCGGTCTGGAGAAGAGGTTCCTGCGGCTCAGCAGTGGCGCCCTTCTCCTCCGGGTGCTGGGCATCATGTAAGGGGCAGGAGAGACTGGAGGTAGAGGGATCTGGGAAGCCCCTCTCCCCAGGCTGGTGGGAGGAGCCTCAGAGTGGTGAATGGAGCCTACTGTCAGGGTCCTCAAGTCTGCCTCTCACTACGCCCCTTGTGCCCAGTGCCCCCAGTTCCCGAGGGGGACCTAGGATGGCCAGCAGCCATGATGGACCTGAGGCCAACAGGGTGTGGAACCTGAGCCAGCTGTGGACCCGACTCAGGGACTTCTACCAGGTGGGGGCTCGGGAACCAGGAGAGGAAGGTGGAGCGGGGGATGGGGGTGCCCTACAGGAAGGTGCCTCATATCCCTGTCCCCTAATCCAGGAGGAGCTGCAGCTGCTGGTCTTGTTGCCACCCCCAGACCTCCAGACGCTGGGCTTTGACCCCCTTTCAGGTGCTTAGCCCCACCTACCCCCTCTCTCTACCTCACCCTCACCCCCAGCTCCCTGTAAACCCTCTGGCTTATGCCCCACAGAGGAGGCGGTGGAGGGGCTGGAAGGCCTGCTTCGGTTGTTGCTGGGGGCATCAGTGCAGGTGAGGCGTGGAGGAGAGGGGAGGGCTGAGCTTTGGCACAGAGGAGGGGGACCCTGCCTCAGTCTCTCTGTTCCTGTTTGCATGCAGTGTGATCACCGGGAGCTCTTCATCCGCCATATCCAGGGGCTGAGCCTTGAAGTTCAGAGCGAGCTGGCTGCTGCCATCCAGGAGGTAGGGCGCAGGTGACTAGCCCAGGGCTGGCGTCATCCTCCCTCTCCGGACAGCCACACCACTCACCTTCTTCCCATGAATTGCTCCCCAGGTGACCCAGCCTGGGGCTGGTGTAGTGCTGACACTGGCTGGACCAGAGCCCGGGGAGCTGGCGCCTTTGGAGTTGGAGATGCTGTCCCGGAGCTTAATGGGGACACTATCCAGGCTGGCCAGGGAGAGGGACCTGGGTGCTCAGGTTAGGTTAGGGGACTGCAGGGGCACCATGGATCCAGATATGAGGGGAAGGTGGGGGTTTGTAGCCCAGGTGTTCGATTGGGGTCTGGGTCTTCACCTAGCAGGGTCATCACAACCAGATTCATCTCGCAGTGGTTGGGGAGCATGTGGGCAGATAGAGGATGGTTATTACTGACCCTTAACCCTTGATCTCCTACAGAGAATGGCGGACCTGCTACTGCAGCGAGAGCGGGTTCCCTTGTCGTCTGAGGCTCCTGCCAGGGTTCCCTCGGAGGGGCCATCACACCACCTGGCACTGCAGCTGGCTAATGCCAAGGCCCAACTGCGGCGCCTGAGGCAGGAGCTGTGAGTGCACATGGGCTGGGGCGGGGACCTGCAGGGACGGAGGGGCAGGCCCTGGAGAGGGGCAGGCCCAGGAAGGGGTAGGGTTGCAGCTTCCCGACCCCCTCCCCTCCATCGCCCCTTCCCTCTAGGGAGGAGAAGGCCGAGTTGCTGCTGGACTCTCAGGCTGAGGTGCAGGGCCTGGAGGCCGAAATTCGAAGGCTCCGCCAAGAGGTGCATTCAGATGCCCCCCACGCCCGCCACTGCCCCCTGTAGCCCCACTCCTTCCCCTGGTCC